GGCAAATGCACCTGAGGGAGGCTTGCTTTACAATCTCCATCCGCAGGCTCCCGCTCCCCTCCCAAACACCAGCCAGCATCTGGCCTCTTCTCGAGGGGCCGGGGCCGGGGGCCGGCCGAGCTGATCGGGGGGGGGGGGGTGCTCCCGACGCCACAGCAGCTGTGCATGTCCCATGAAGGGCCGTCTGTGTGAGGGAGGCGAGAGGCGGGGGCAGATGGGCATGGCTGGGCTGCGTCTGGGCACGTGCCAGGAGGGTGCAGAGCCACTGCCAATGGGCGAGTGTGGGTCGTTCCGGAGACGGGACAGAGTTGAGAACAGAGCCACGGCCTGGCTCTGGTTTTCACATCAGCCTGTCGCAGGGCTCGGTGCGAGAGCGGCTGGAATGTCCGTGGGCTCACCCGCTCTCACCCGGGTGCAAGGGGCATTTCTCCTGCTGTCTGCACACAGGTGCTTGGTACCTCCGTGCTGGGCAGCGTCGGCTCTCCTGCTATCTGGGGTTTTATAGGCTCGCCCAGCTGAGCGCACATATAGGGTGGGGAACTGCTATTGAAAACGTGGCCCCTTGCAGCCCAGACAGGAATCTGGGCCCCGCAAACCCTCCACCCCACCTAGGCAGGAAAGGGGGCTGTGTAATGAGCCAGGGGCCTGGGAGCCAGAGGTCTGGTTTCCATCACCAAATGCTCACTTAGGCTGAGCTTGCTGGGGCAGGGTCCCTGCCTAATCTCCTGCCATGTCTGTTACAGCACAGAGCACATTTGGGGCTTAGCGAGTCATTTCTTCTTATTGTTATTAATGAGTAATTGCCAGCTCTGTCTGTGGCTCACTGTGGGCAAGTCACTTAGTTGCCCTGTGCCTCGGTTTCCCCATCTGTGCCTTGAGCATAGTTCCCCTGACCCTGCTTGCAGAGTGACTGGCTGACTAGATGCATTCAGGTTTGCGAACCCCTTGGAGGCCCGAGGAAGGGGGAGGCATCTCTCCTAGCACCATGCAAGCTGCGGCAGTCTCTGGGGGAGTGGCCACATCTCAGCTCCTCACGGACAGCTGTGCACGGCCTGTGGCAATGAGGGAGCATTGTCTGCTGCTGGATACTCACCCCACACGTAGGGGGCGGAAGGTAGTGCTGAGTGAACCCGCAGAGAGCGTAGCGTGGCCTGGCCTGGCTTGACTCAGCCTCCGAGGTGTTGGCTGCTGATCGGGACGCTCTGCAGATCAACTCCCTGACCCCCCTGGGTGTGTGGGATTTGGCAGGAACCCTGGGGAGCAACGCCTGCCAAGCAGCGAATCCTGCCCCTGCCGGGAGCGAGGAGACGTGTGCACAGGGAACATAGCCCAGGGGTCAGGGGTAACCGAGCAGCTCTGCTCACGCAGGTCTGATTGCAGGATTGGGGCCATAGTTTGCCCATGCAGCGCTGCCCCCTACTGGGCGCGAGGGTCTCCTGCCCCATCATATGCATGTCCGCTCCTGCACTGGCTGTGTGCCCACTGTGGAAAGTGGTGCATGCCCCCTCCCATGGGGCCAGGTTCACTCTTCTAGCTGGCCGAATGTTAACTCGGTACAACTTTCAAAACAGAAGGTCGTTCACCTCTGTCCTGCTCTCGCTCAGCCTGTCTGACGGCCTGGGGACATTCTCGGACTGGAGCCTGCAGCTCCCACGGGGAAGCCAGAGACGCTTGGGGTCAAGGGGGGGCTGGAGCTACAAAATGCCTGCGTCCTTCCTGCAGCGTTTGTGCCGTTACACAACATTACAGTCGGCTGCAGTTGATGGGGCCAGAGTGTGTGTGAAAGACACGAGTGGAAGATAAAGCAGCTACTACTGCCGCTAGCTATAGGTATGCTCCCTTAGCTCAAGTGCTAGAGGCCTTTGTTTCCGGCAGCGCTGAGCGCTGAGAGCAGGTTTCCGCCCCACTGCCCTCGTGTGCGAGGAGATTTCTGTAGCCCTCGTGCCCGTTGTTCACAGCATACGGGCCCGGATTTTTGATGTCCAAAGCTAGAGCGGGGCAGAGACCAGAAATTCCGTCTCATGGAGGATTTGGAGATTTTGAAACTTTGGCTTCATTTTGAATCGGAGCAAAACAAAGGGAAATTTAAAAAAAAAAAAAAAAAAAAGTTTTGGTAGATTGAAATGTTTCCTTTTTAACCCCTTGTGGTTCCGCTCCCTGTTCTGAGACGCGCCGTCGTGTAAAATCAGCCATTTCAGAACGAGCAGTGGGAATGTTTCGTCCTGCAAAGGTGGAAACGGGACGGTAGAGACAAGGTGGGGGAGGGAAAACCTTTTGATTGGACCAACCTGTGTTTGGGAGAGAGCCAAGCCTTCCGGCCTACGCAGAGCTCGTCCTCGGGGCTGGGCATTGAGCTGTTCGCTGGCCACTGCACCTGGAGTGTCTCTTGCGATCGGGGTTAGCTAGGTGCGCTGAGCAGTCCGGTCCCCCTTGCACTGAGCGGCAATGCAAGGCGCTGCTCCCTTGCATTGAGCGGCCTTTCCACGGGTCCCAGGGCCGAAGAAGAGCTCTGTGGAGTGCGACAGCTTGGCTGGCGGTAAAAGATCTCACCTCAGCCCCCTTGTCTCTCCAATATCCTGGGGCCACTCACCCTGCAGACAGAAATGGGACACCAGCCTTGTTTTCTGTTTTGCGGAACCATTTGGATTTGGACGCGGCTGCGTTGGCGACAGGAAGGGGACCCATCGGAGCTTTTCTGACCGAGAGGCCCCCAGGCGCAGGGTGATTCTTGAGCCCCAGGGCCGGGGCACCTGCTTCCCGTCACACCGTCCTGTGCCTCGCTCCGTGGCTGCCGGCTTGGGCAGGGACTCTGCTGAGCGGGAGGTGTCCTACGAGGAAGTGGTGCGGGTGGATTAGCTCCGGCAGCAATTGCCCCCCTTCTTTGTCATGCCAGTAAAGTCACCGAGGATAAATGAAGTCGAGGGACCCCTGGGGGGCTGCACAGTGCTGCCGGGCTGATGGATACCGGGCGGGGCAGGGCTGGAGGCAGAGCCTGCTGCTGTCCGTGCCCCTCCCACCTCTCCTTCCGGCTGACGTTGAGATCACGGCAGGCGGCCGCGGGCAGCATCTGCCCACTCTTGGCTCCTGGCGTGGGCACTGCCAGCTCAGCAAGGCGGCTGCTGGGCGACGTGGAGGGCGAGAGCTGAGTGGCTGGGGCAGCTGCTGTTCTCTGGGACCAGGCCAGTGCTGAAGGCCATGGAGGAGGCAGTGTCTCGGGTGCATGGTCTCAGCGGTGCAGACCTGTTCCCTCCCCACCCTGCCCTGGGGGGGTGTCGCTTCCAAGAGGGCACTGGCCCTGCATCCCAGGTGGGGGTGGGCAGAGCAACAAGGACCCCTTTGTCCCCCACCCCTACAGCCTGGGGAGCCCTGGCTGAGACCGGGCAGCCCTGAGCCCGTGGACTTTAGCAGGCGACAAGGGTGCTCGGCGCCTGTCTACCCACTGCGCTGGGTCCGTCCCAGGAGGGGTTTGGGGAGGGGGGTGCAGCAGCCCTGTGTCGTTCCATCTCTGCTGTGAGCGGCCGCGGCCTGACGCCCGGCCCAGGTTGCTGCAGGTGCCAAGGAGCTAATGGGTCCTAGCTGGCAGGGTTGGTCCCCAGGAACCCCCAGTGACCCTGTGTGCATGTGGGGGAGGGCGTGTATTTCACCTGGCACCGCTGGGTGCCCAAAGTGGCTTTGTTTTGAAAGGGAGGGACAGCACATGGCCAGCTGCAGGCTCCCCTGTGCCCCAGCGCCGGAGGCCAGCAGGAACGGTGGCTGTTTGGGTTGGAGCTGCCGAGCTCCAGTGTTTGGCTGACCCGGGAGCCTTCGTGCTTGGAAGGGAGCGGAGGCCAGAAAGCTTCCCAGCCCGGAGCACAGCTCCCTCTCCTCTGCCCACTGGTGGGGGAAGTGCCGTGGGGCTGGCCGGGGACAAGGCGAGGGACAGAGGACATTCCCCAGCAACTGGGTCCCGGACGTGCCACCGGGGCAAAGTGGAAGGTAGTTTTGTAGTGGGATTCATTTAGAGCTCATTGCGCCTAAGGAGGCAGCTCAGTGAGGGCCAAGGAATTGGCACTGGTGTGAACCAGTGGCTGGCACACGCTGGGCATAGGGACATGGTGCGGTTTGGGATTCCTCCTGCCCGGGCACCCTGCTCGGGCTGCAAACGCGGCCTGGCTGGGTCGTGAGCCCCGTCACAGCCCCAGGGCTGCTCCGGGCACTCACCAGCCTTCTGGCGACTGAACTGGTGGTGCCCCCGTTTGTCGTGAGGCAGGCCAGTTTGCCATGCCCGGGCAGCGCCCGCTCTCAGCCTCCAGGAGCGCCGGAACCCTCCTCCCCAGGCCCGTCTGCACCCAGGCTGGCAAACTCTTCATGTACTGAGGGCTGACAATGGCCAGGCCGGGTACTGACACCCCCTCCTGGCAGGGTTTGGGGGCCTGGTTCAGATCCATTTTGGAACCGTCTCTTGTTGGGGTTCCCAGGCCTGCACCTCTCCCTTCCCCTGTTGGTGGGACATTCCCCTCCCCCTCCCGGGAGGGGGGCTGGAGGAGCGTCTGTCCCAGGGTCCCAGAGGTTAGTGAGGGGAGAGGCCCAGAGGGACCCGACCCACCCCCAGAGACGTGACGGGCTATACCACACTTGTTTAACCTGTGGGGAGCGAGAGGGGGCTCACTGCTGGACCAGCGCCTTGCCCTGCTCTTTGCAGCTCTGGGCCCCCCGTCTGGCTGCAGAGCCCCCCGGCCTGGAACCCGGCCTGCCCCATCTGCCTGGCGACCTGCAGCTGCCTGGGGGCTGAAATCGCCCCGCTCCCCCAGCTGCTGAGCTGTTACTTTGCTGGGAGGTTATTTTTAGGAATTTCTGGAGCGTGCGGTCGGCATGGCTGGGGGCCGAGGGGCGGCCCAGGCGGGGGTGGGGGCGGGGGCGGGAAGAAGGTTTTTTTTTTTTTTTTTTTTCAATAAAAACTATTCCCAGCTGGCAGCGACTCCGGGCTTGGCTGCTGGCTGCTCTCAGTGCCCTGGTTTTCGGCTCTGCCAGCGCCTCGGGTTACCGCTGGGAAGCGAGAGGCTCTGGTTCCCTGCAGTGGGGCCGGGGGGGGCGCGCTGCAGGGGGCGGGCCAGCGCGAGTGAGTTTTCTGGTGTGCGCTCTCGAGCCTCCCGCTGCAGGCCAGGGGGGAGAATCCCCCCTTTTCTCCGCAGCCGAGCGCGGGTCGGGGCAGCCGGGCCAGCATGGGGACCTGCGGCCGTGGCAGCCGGCTCTGAAGGTAGGATGGAGGGATGGGGAGCCGCTCCGGCACACGGGTTCGGGGCCGGGCTGGTTTGTGCTGGGCCAGGGGCGCCCTTCCCGGAGGAGGCTGCTGGGAGGGTTGGGGGGAGAATAGTTGTGTATATAAGACAAAGCCCCTAATATCAGGATAGTCCGGATGGTATCGGGACATCAGGCCAATCGACTGGTGCTTGTGGGCTGGGGCTGCCCAGATGGCGCTGCCCAGCCCGGCAGCCCGTGGGCATGCTGGGTCTGATTGGACATGGGGGTAAAGCTGATTTATCCCAGGGTGACCGGAACCAGGCTTGGGGGGTTGCTCTGGGTTTGCCCCCGGGGTGATTGGAACAGGGTCGGGCTGGAGGGGTGTTCCAGGTTTGCCCCAGGGTGACCGGACAAGGGTTGGCTGGGGAGGGAGGGGGGTGCTCCAGGTTTGCCCTGGCTGAGTCCATGGCGTGACTCCGGCCATCCCCTGGTGAGTGTCACTGTCTCAGTGGCCTGCCCCAGTGAGAGGGATGGGGGTCTGTCTCTGCTGCTAAGGGTCACGCTCCGTCCCTGGCTGGCCGCCCCACGCCACGTGAGGGGGGCAGGGCACCCCCAGGTGGGAAGCGGCCACTCTCTGCAGCTCAGTGTGATGGGGAAGGGGGCAGCAGGGGCCGGGCGGCTCCTGTGAGCGAACTGGGGGGGGAAGCGGGACCCAGCAGCACAGTGTAAACGCCAGTCTGGCTGCGCACATGCCTTGGCTGTGGTCTTGCCCGCGCCAGCCTCCCGCCAGGCTCTCCTGCTCTGCCTTCCCTCACAATCCACACCAGCGCCCTCTCCCGGTGCCACCACAGCGCCCCCCACGGTGCTGCGCCCCCCTCTACGCCAGCCGGGGGTCTGGCCAGCCTCGGGCTCATTCAGATTTCCCCAGCTGCCTTGGGAGCTCGTTAATCTGTCTGCGTTAACATTTGTTGGCTGCTTATGTCTATTGTCTTCTATTTTCGTCTGTGCTCGGAGCTGGCCGGATAGAGGCCTTTGCTAGCGTTCACAACAAACACGGCCCTTTCATCCCGTCTGTCCGAGGGAGTGTCACGCTTCTGGGGGAACCCTGAGGCAGAGAGGGGATTGCCGAGGGACGTCCTGCTCGCGCCCGGTGCCAATCCGGAGTCACTCTGGTTTAGTGCCGGTGTACTTCAGCTGACTTTGGTGGAGTAGCTGAGATGGGAACCTGGCCCCCGGTCCTGTCCTGATGGTGACTGTATGAACCTTGTCCCCGTCATGGGTTTTCCACTCGACCCAATAACGTGTGGGGCCAGGTCCTTAGCTGGTGTGAATCGGCCCTGCTCCAGCAGGTCCAGTGGACCTGGGCTGCTTGACGTGAGGTGAGGCTCCGGCCTGGTGCGATTGCTGCGCGGGGGTAGTGGATGGCTTGAGGGAGCTTGGGGTGTGCTCTGCTGACCGTCTCAGACTGAGCTCTGCTGGATGCGCCTGGCTGGGGAGAGGAGGGACTGGCACCCCTCTGCCACCTCCCCGCTCTCTCCCTGGGGAGACCAGAACAGCTGGTGCAGTCGCAGCGCTCTGCTGGTTCGTGCCACCAGGGCACCGCACTGGGGAATGGCACAACCTGCCATCCCAGCGGCGTCCTTCTCATGGCACACGCTGCGGGCAGCTGGGCAGCGCCACTCGGCAAGTCGGTTTACAATCAGCGTTACGCCCAAGCTGGTGTCGGAGCCAGGCACTCGGTCGCTGGATGTCACGATTTCAGGGGGATGGCTGCTGGCTCCTGCCTATAGGTCAGGACATGCCCACGGTGCCCAGCCTGGGTGCTCCGGAGTGGCAGCAAGAAAGCAAGTGTTGGGGGGTGCTCCCACGAGTGAGACTCGAGTCCGTACGAAGGGTGGGGGCGCAGGTGAGATTTGCGGCTGTCTCTCGTTCTGGCAGTGTTGGTCTCCTCGCCGGCCGGGCTCAGCCCATTCAGGGCCCTACGGTTTGAGGGGAGCTGGGGACACCAGAGACGCTGTCTCCGTTTGATCCTAGTCAGAGGCAAGGCTGGGGGTGCAGCTCTGAGCCCAAAAGCCAGGCAGGGGCGACTGTCTGAGCCCCCCAGACAGAACGCTGGTGCAGGGCTGGCGGATCCGCATGGGGGCTAGCAGGGAGGGGCAGGGCGAGGGTGGGGATATTCCTGAGAGAAGTGCTAAGCTTTGGTGGGAGAGGGACTGGAGCTAGGTCTGTCGGCTCCAGCACATTCACACCCGCTGCAGAACTGGCCCTGGCTTGGCGGGCAGGTGCCAGGGACCCGCTCGGTGCCAGGCTCCTCTGGGGTCACTTGGCTGCAGCCCATGTGAGCGTACCTGGGCTCCGAGCTCGCGTGGGGCTCCAGGACTCTGCCGTGGCGCTTGGAGCAAGGGCAGCGTTTGCAGAGAGTTTTTCTTGGTTTAATTGGCATCTTCATGGGGGGAAACCTTTTCCCTTCTAGGGCCAGTAACTGGGAGAGCGTTAAAGACGGGCCATGCAAAGGGAGTGCGAGGTTTGCTGGGCCATAGGGGTATTGCTGGGGGGCTGACGGGCGCAGTCCGACACATGTTTCATCCTGGCCGTGACTGAGCCGGTGGAAGGAGCGTCCCTCCTCTGGAGAGGCGTTAAGGCTCCCTGGGCCCTGCTGGGGCTCTGGGCCTGGGTCCTTACCAGGAGCGCTGAGGAGAACGTGGGGTTTGGGGGGGATCAGGCTTAGCCCCAACCACCTGCCGCTGGAGCTCTGCAGCTGGGAGGGCGAATTGGAGTTGCCCCTTCAAAGTCCTGGGTCAGCCCCTCCCCTGGTGCAAGTCCTCGTGGCGTCAGGCCTGGTTCAGGCCCGACTGCAGCCCCAGGCTGGTGGACCCGCAGGCAGCGAGCCCTTTGGGAAGCTCAGTGTGGTGACGTGCGCTCACTGCCCCCACAAGCCCGGGCTCTGTGCACAGGCAGTCGGGGTTGTGTAGGTAGGACAGTACGCGCCCCCTGCCGCAATGCGGGGCAAGGTGTCCCGCCGGCAGAAGGCGTGTTTGTATCCCCGCTCTCAGACAGGGCCGTTTCCAGGATTGCGTCCATGAGCCCCAGGGCCCGAGAGTCTCTTTAAAGGACACCCCGTACCCAGCCCCTGCTTGGTTTATCTTTGGGATCCACAGCCAGGGAAGTGCCTGGTCAGGCTGTTTGATTTGCACTGTTCACTTGCAGGGATGGCTCGTCCCTTAGGAGCCAGGGCTGGAGGGGCAGATCCCCGGCTCCGGTGCAGAGCCTGGGGGGAGTCAATGGAGGGGGCGGCCCCCCGGGTTGGGAAGCACTTTGCCGCTGTCGGGATAGGCAAGACCAGAATATGGTTCTAGCTTATTCTCAAGGCGCTTTGGGGCTGTCTGACCTCCTTCGTCCTGGGCCAGGCGCCCTCTTCTTGCGGTGCTGGGGGGAGAGATGGAGGGGCCCTTGGGGCCAGGGCTCTTTCCCCGGACAGCTCAGAGACAGAAGCGGCTGTGCGAATGTTCCCTGCATTGCCCAGACTGAGGCACAGTGTTGGATCAGTCTCCTGAGCAGCGAGTTGCTTGGGGCCTCGTGTCCTGGGCTGGCACAGAAGGGCTCTCGCAAGCCGGTCGGGCTGGAGGCCCGTTGGTTTCTCGCCTGCAGCTGCAGCCACACGGTGCCCAGGTCCGTTTCACCAGGATGCCCCCCAGGGCTGGAGGCCCCATCCAGGCATGTTAGAGCGTGGGTTCTAGTCGCCCGGCACGTGGCACCCAGCCCAGTCTGGATCCCCCTGCCATGGTGAGGGTGCCGTGGGCGAAATGTCGCCCAGCACCCAGGGTGGCTGACGCTGTGTTTGCAGGCGGGTGACCCTGGAGGCAGCAAGCTGGCACCAAGCATGCAGGGGGAGACGCTGCCAAGCCCACTTGGCTCCTTGTGCCACCACTTCACTGGGACTGCCCTAGACCACCCTCGGGGAGGATTGGCAGTGGGGAGCTTCGGAGGCCCCCATGGCGCCTCAGCCTGGTTGGCAGGAGCCTCTGTCCCCACCCCAGTCCCTGAGCGTCTCTTCCCCCCCCCTGCCCCCCCAATCTCTGCCCGCGTCTCCCTTTCGCTTTGAAGAGTGACATCAAATGAAGCAAAAAAACCCCAAGCACAGAGCACTCAGTCCAGTGGAAAGTTGGCCCAACCCTGGTGCCTCCCCCAGGAATCCCGGCCATCTCCTTGCCAGGCCACTGCGGGGCATGGCATAGAACGAGTGTGTGTATGTCTCTGTGCGCGCACGCGTGTGTCTCTGCGTGCACGCGCGTGTGTTTCGTCATCCTCAGCAGGAAACAAAACAAGCAGCAAACCCAGCAGAGATTCTTGTCAGTGCATGGGGGCAGAGCAGGACAGTGGGTGCCGACGGGCCATGCCAACTCCTGGGCGTTTTGGGGTGCTGGCTGGTTCAAGGCCCCCAGAGGCGCATGGGGCTTGGGGATCAGGTCTGCATTTAGATAGGTCAACGGAGGCTGGGAAATCACAGGCGCGCCATCTGGAAGGGTTAATTTACAAACCGAGAGCTGCTGGGTTCCATTCCCTGGTTCTCGGGCTCGTTCAGCCAGCGGGAGCTTCCCAATGGGGTGACGCAGCTAACTTGTGTCCGAGTGCACGGCCATTTGATGGCCTGCAGGGGGTGCCATCGGGAATAAGCTGGGACATTTGGGCTCACGTAGTTTGAAAGGGGATGGTTCTTGTGGAGGGCTGTGTTAGCAGGTCCCCTCCCGCCCCTCGGATCAGCTGGGATCAGCATTGTGTTTCCAGCGTCAAACCTTCCAAAATCATGAGTTGGCCCCCCACAGAAATCATGAGATTGGCTTGAAAGATCATGAGGTTTTTGGTTTTTTAAGTAACCCGCTTGGGGTCGGGTCAGTCATCCTCTGGGCTTCGAGGCTGTAGGGGTCACATTTCCTAGCTTCTCCCTGCAGCCAGGAGGTGCTGGAAAAGTACTGCTTTGCTAACGCGAGCCAAGATTCCCCTCGAATCCCAGGACTC